ATTTAAAATAAGCTGTATTAGCATGTGAGGCACTATCATGTGACAATCATGTAAAAGGAATTTTCAATGGTTTATTGTTAGCTTGAATGCACAAGTTACTCATGCATGTTTTTTACATTTCACCTTCCGAATTCTTTATAGATCAACATTAACCTCCAGACCATTATTCCCCGTTGACCTGCTTGTGATCCTTTGTCGATAAACTACTGTAAACCTGTTTATTTTTACTCCACTTAATTTCACTACTTTGATAAATTTTGAGTTTATTTACTTGGTTCTTATTCCACATGTTGGCATGTTTTAGCAGATTTTACTTATCAGCGAAAACAGAAAAATTAAAATCCTGTGAATAATTGTCTATCGTACAGTAGAATTAATCTGCTTGAATTTTATTATGGCTATTTGTGTAATAGAATTATTGAGTTTACAGTTAGTATATTCAGTCGTCATGAACTAAGTAGAAACATGTCCTACTGTTTGAAGATATAAATTAATAATTTTGTCATTCAATTAAAAACTAAATTGACTGTCTATAGCTGCTGTCAACATGTGTTTACGTAAAATGATCTTCTTGACCCCCTCTGACCTCTTATGTATTCCATTGATACATTTCTACAGCTGAATTTAGTGAAAACAAATTGCAGCAGTCTTAACCTTTCTCGCCCAAATTTGTCTGCACTTTTTTCTTATATTTTTTTGTAAATGAACGCTAATTTTGCCAAGAGACAAAATATTGAGTCAATTTTTAGTTTTTACACACAAAAAATGGGATTTTTTTCCAATTTTCAGAAAAGTGGACACTATAATTTTCTGAATTTGTGATCAAAAGAAAAAACTGGTGGTGAAAACGTTAAAGCATTGTTATAATAGTAATGTCACCTTAATAATTGTTATCAACTGATTTTTTTTAGTATGAACCTGAGGTGTACGATATCACATCCTGCATTCTGCAAATTCATAGACTCCATTTTACATTTTTTTAATGCATATATAGATCACTAATTTCAAATTTGTGGTTGTACTCAAACATGTAAATTTCATTAACTAGCAAATAACAATGATACTTTCTATAGCCAGTAATCTGTATATGATCTGTATACTACATTCTATTGGAATTTGATAAATGTTATTAAAAAGAGTATTATGAAAGCAAATTATTAAAAATAAAATATCACAATAAATGCAATACAGATGTGAAGAAAGATGAACAAAATGAGAGAAAACAAAATAAAAACAAGCATGGAAAAGCAACTAAACTGACAAACTAATTAGTCCCTGTCAGGCACA